TTAAGCACGTTTTATTAAGGTAATAATATACATTACAACAAAAAAATTTGACCTTTTATTACATGTAAAAATTCAATCGGAAATTTTCTTTTTTGGATGATTTGTTAAATATTTCCATTAATACCATACCGAACTGTTTGAAATTTTCGTAATATAGAGTTTTGATATCAAATATGAGTTTACTTAGTATAGCAGAAAAGGTTTTATTTAAGAAAACGTACTTTATTTAGCAAGTACTTTTTTCATTTGACGTTACACAGCACAAGTGGTCGGATATTTTTTGTAGGGGAGTGTAAAAATGAATAATCAGTTTTATCAATTAATGTTGATAATGTTTTTATTTAAAAAATAGTTAGTTAATGGTAAAAATAATGGCAATAGTAATAATAAAAGATAATAAGAATGTTTTTTTTATTTAAAAATAGTCAACAATAGTAGTAATAATGATTTTATTTAAAAACAAATAAATCTCATTTTTGCAGTTATGTGACTCCATTTTTGATACTAAGTCATCATAATTATAGTTGCAGACAGTTTCAGGTAGTTGCAGAGGTTGCAGACAGTTTCAGGGCTTGCAGAGGTTGCAAAAAAGGTTGCAACTCGAGCTTTAGAACCTACAGTTGCAGAAAATGTGAAAACAGTTACAGACACCAACTTTAATTATATTTCATTTATTAGATTATTTTTATAAAACCATCTCCCACTTGATTACTGTGTCAAATAGATAAGGACAAAAGAAAAAATTCTTTTTTGGTATCAATGTTTCTTAAAGTGCTTGAGTTTATGCTCAAGTGAATACTCAGGTTTACACCCAAGCTACTTGGAGTTGAAACTCATGCACTTGGATTTTGCACTTGGGTGATAATCAGGGCTGGTTGTGCAAGAGGGTCTAAAATCCTAATTTGGTAATAATTGTCATAACATAATTACTAAATAGTTAGTCAGTATAGCCAAATGCTTATTTAGGGTTAAGTAGCCAGCCCTGATGATAATGAAATACCAATAAAAATCGTATTTTGATTTGCAAAAACAAATATAATTAAAATTCTTGTAATGGTTATTCTTCAGATCACTACAGTAGAATGTTTAATGGATTTTCGTAAATGATAATTTATCAAAAATTATAACTCTAAAGACAAAAGGAGAACAATCCGAATTTTTTTTTGTTTGAGGTTAGTCCCAAGCCATTCGAGATTCTTTTAATATTTAATTAATATTAACACGCTTTTTTAAGTGTAGATCGGCATAAGTCACGGGGATGTATTGCAAGGAATATAAAATTCCAAAAATTATAAATACCAACTTTGCTATTTTCTCAAACTCTCTTTACAAAAAGAAATAAATTTATTAAATAGAAGAAATTTATATATATACATACATACATATATATTTATTTATATATATATAAATAAACGCATACATAAATAAATCTATTCAATTACCATGACTCATCATTATTATGAACTTTATCGTAGAAGCAGGTTTGTTCAATGATAATAATTTACTAGTTAAACTTCGAAGTAAAATGTTAATTTTCTCTATAAAAACTTGTCAAAAGTATTGGAATTGCTTTGACAGAGTCACTTGATGATTTTATTCAAACGGGTCAAATTACTCCACAATTAGCCATGAAAGTATTATTACAAGTACGTTATTTTAAAAAATATTTAATAATTGATTTTTATTAATACAATGAAAGTAAAACGAAGAAATAAAAATATATTTAGATTTAGTTAATTTATATTTATAATTTATAATTTAATAGTATTTCAGTAATAAGAGTAATAGTAATTTAATAGTAATAATAATAATAGTAATAATAATAATAATAATAATAATAATAATAATAATAATAATAATAATAATAATAATAATGTTTTTGTTAAGTATTAATATATATATATATTATTAATTTTATTAATTTTTTTTTTTAACAAAAGTTTGATAAGAGTATAACAGAGGCTCTTGAAACTAAAGTCAAAACTAAAGCAACATTCAAGGTATATTTATATAAATTATTGACATAATTTTGATCATTTAAATAAGAAATTTTAAATCCACACGTAATATTTATTTACTTATTCATTTATTGATTTATTTATTTATTTATATATTTAGCAAGGACATCTTCATACTTATCGATTTTGTGATGAAGTATGGACTTTTATAATCAAAAACCCAAATTTTAAATTAGATCAAAACGAGGCAATACAGGTTGATAAAATTAAAATTGTAGCTTGTAATTCAAAGAAACCTGGTGAAGCAGAAAATAAAAATTAAACAATTATATATATATATAAATTTTTTCATATTGTAATCTTTCATAATATAGTCTCACAATATAGTATACTATACTATATATTGTAATTTATTAATGATTGATTTTATGATTAATGATATTGATAATAATAATTTCATTTTTTAAAATAATAATAGAATCTATAAAAATTATAACTCATTTTCAATTTAAATCTATATTTCTAAAAATAAACGAGGATTTTCTTGTAATCTACAATAATTATACAACTACAGTTGAATATTATATGAAGTATTCTATTATTTGAAACCTTTGTCGTATCCATTTTTAACATAAAAGTCATCCAATCTTTTAACAATAACTTCTAAAGCACCTAACCATTCTTTATACTTTACAATTACAACCTCTTGATCATCCCCTAATTTCTTAAAAAATTCTTCACGATAAGGGCAAGCCTTCATTGCAACCTTTTTAAATAGAATATTAAAAAATCAATCAATCAATCAGAAGCTAATAATCATCTAAAAAAATATATTTTCGTTTTATGAAAACCATTCAAAACGAGCTTACCGTGAACAAAGATTTAACAACAAAGTTATGATATTGTTTTAAAGTTTCGCCATAAGACATGGTAAATGAAACCGATAATTCTTCAGATACGTTATTAATTGAACGACGTAAAGCAACTGAGGTAAGTTCTAATCCACTAAATATTTATTTGTTATTATTAATCATTTAAAAAATATAATTTAAAAAAAAAATCAACATCCTTAAATTCCATGATTTCTAAAAATTTTTTGCGTAACTTTGGATGCGTTACCGTCATTCAAAATTAAAATATTCATTTACCGTTTTAACCATAATAGTCCTTCTGTTGCAACACGTTTCTTTTCACCTGCTTCGTTCTTTATTAAATTCTCTAAACTGTTGTTCTTTGAAGGATCTGTGTCATATTTTGCTTGAATTTTCTGTTCATCATCATCATTATTATTATTACTATTATTATTATTATTATTATTAAATATCATAGATTATAAGGTATTAGTGTATATAAAGTTACCTTAATGTTACCATTCATGTCATTTTGAACAATACTGAATGCGGTAGAACCCAATAAATCTATGAATGTGATTTCAAAATGTTAATAATTTACTCATTACTCAAAAACAAAGTCTTTAAAATCTTATTTATTCGTTTGTTTATTCAGTCATTATTTTTTATTAATATTCAAATTTCAAGACATACCAAATAATTGGACAAGACCTTCTGTGGCTTCAAGAAAAGCAATTGTGTCAATTCCTTCTTCATTGATTGGTACTTCGGTATAGGAACGTTTGATGGTTTCAAAAAAAGTTTTCATAATTGTTATTATGATGGATAAAATTAATAAATCAAAAATTAAATTTTTTTAAAAAAAAAGAAAAAAAAAGTTTTAGAATGATTTAAAAAAAAAGAATTTAAATATGAAAAACAAACAAACAATCATGTATTAATTTTAATGATGAAACAAGGCTATAATTAGATATTTGATTTTTTTATAAATTTCTCCTGAAAATCTTGTAAAAATGCCTAACAAAAATAAATTAATTATTATTTAATACAAATTCGGAATTTTCCTTGACTATTACTATACTATACTAATACATAAATATTAATATTAATTATTTATATTCGTTAAACAACATGGACAAAAATCATAACAATATATAACGTATTAGCAACCGTTTCATATCCTCCTTTACCATGGCCACGACCACCACTATAATATTAAGAATGTGACGGTTGGATGTTGTTTTGATATTTTTTTAAAGATCTATCTAATATTTAAATATATATTGTAAAAATTGCAAACTTCTGGTTTGATACATGTCAGATAAGATTGTTACAACATGTATAAACATGATTATTTTGCATTGTTTCTTTTACTGTCCATTACATCCTTGCTACGATTTAAGACCATATTGAGAATCTTTACAATACTTTGTAATAATAACTCGAAGCCAACGTGTTTTAAAGATAAAAAAAACCGAAAAATTCAAGTGGTGTTGGATAGGTGCTGTCCGTTATCACACAGCCAAATGTTCCTTCTTGTGTTTTCCTTTATTTAGAACTTGGTAGTAAAAAGAAACAGAAACGGAATACAATGGCGAGTTTCTTATGTTGAGCCAAAGCTAATCAAGCCAGTTACTAAAACAGGCCATCATTACACAATGACTTGTTTCTGACAGTATTCTGCTAAACATGTAAAAGGTGGCTAGAACTAGCGGGTATGTTTATACGAGAAAAATTTATTATTTTAACCGACTGATCTGACTTCAGGTAAACATGTATATGATATTTTTTAGTGTTGGAATGTTATATACGATCTAAAAGGTAAACCGATATAATTTTATTATACTGCTACATCGAAAAAGAAAGAGACGTAAAGAATATTAATACTAATACATAAATTTTTTTTCATTAATTTTTTAATCGAATAATAACATGGCAATTATTGATAACGAATAGAACAAAAGAGACACTTGAATTTTTAAATATCAAAAAGAAGAAGAATAATAATACTAGACAGTCTTATCGAAGAAAATTTTTATCCTGGTAATAATTTACTTCTGAAACGATACAAAAAGTGATACAAATGTTTTTGAGAAGTCAACATTTTTAGGTGTTTTTATTAGAACCTAAATGTGGATAGATATATTTAGCCCATGAATACAGACTTGGGAATAGAAAAATGTTTCAAGGTTCTATTCAGAACTTTGAAGACCATTTATACTTATGTGTAACATACAAATGAGAGAAAAGATTTATTATAATAAAGATTACAAATAGAATTATCCGAGTTTAATATAATATTTTGATTATTTCAATTTTTATCAATTACTTGAAAAACTTTTAATTCATTAAATTTACTATCATTTACAATGTTGATGTTCTTATAAGTATGCGAACGACTATTAACACTACCGTCTGCATAAAAAATTATATCATTACCACCACCAAAAATAGGAAGGTGAGTTGGATAGAACCAATTGCATTTTGATCATTTGCATAACTAAACTGTGCAGTATTAGTATCATTTCTATGATTGATATTAAATATAAAACTTTTTGGTGCACTTTTAAAGATATCAACTCCATTCCAATCAAGCGGATTATAGCCTCCAATTACTTGTTCTGAATTTTGTATTTTTGCCAACTACAAGAGTTTTGTTAATCTTATCACACTTTTGATGAAATGTAATTGCACTTAAACCGTCTCTACTACTACAATATAAAAGTTTGAATTTGTATTTGACATAATTAATTGAATTATATGGTGGACTTTTTTTATCAATCCAGCTTGCAAAAAGCAGTGTTCCTCTCATTGATAATTAATGAATTATTTGAAATTCTTGGTGGTAATAGATTTATATCTGGTTGATCATCAGGAAATAAATAATAATCTAAAATATTTTTTTTAAAATCCTTAGGAAAAAGTTTTTGATATGGTTTAATTTTATAACGAAAATCCTTATTGGAGATACCCTTAAATCTAATCAATAAAATGAATTCATTTAATGTATTTCCTAAATCAACAAAATTTTGCTTTGTCCAATTCTCAACACTATTATTATTATTGATTTCTAGATGTCTTGCTAATCCCCATTTAAGAATTCCTTGCCAAATGTCTATTTCATCAATACATAAATCATCTCTTTTAAGAATTAATAATAAAATTGATTTTTCCAATGATACAAATTCACTTGACTCAAATATTTTTTCTTTATCAGCACAAATTTTTTCTACACAAATATTTTTTAATTCATTAAACTTTTCTTCATTAGTGCTGATTAATCGTAGAACTTTAATTGTATTATCATTTATATAGTCTTTATGATTTTCAATAAAATATTTCATTGTATCATTGACAAGTGTTTGAAGACCAAATTCATCTGCTGCAATTAATAAATCCAATACATCACCACCAGTATAATTGTTTAATTCAATTTTACATGTATATATAAATCTTTTAAAAAATGAGCAATTAAATGATATTATATATTAACAAAGATAATTTATAATTTATTAAATATTAACTCACTTTAGAATAGCTTTAAAAACAAGTTCATTAATATTAGATTTATTAATAACATAATAGCCGCCATCTTCTTTACTTGTATTAGACAGGACATTCTTAAAAAATGGGCATTGAGCAAATAGGATTAACGAGTGCGCATGAAATTCTATAACAATTTTTTCTTCTTGATGAATAAAAATTTTGACATCATAGTTATTAACATCTGGATCCAATAATTTTTCAAAGTTTTTAAATATTCTGTTAATGACGACGTATTCATTTTTTTTTTTTTTTTTGAGAATGTGAAGATTAAATTAGCCAATCAAAAGGAATTTCGCGCCATATTTAGTTAGATATTCATCTTCACACAGCCACATCAGGGATAATAATAATAAAAATTACGCGTAATATACACAATATACGTTTATTTCTTCCAAATGAGAATAATTAATTAATATACATACTAATAACTGCCTTTCGATACTTGTTGAAGATAATGTAGAACCAAGTGATTCTGATAGTGATGGTTCATATGCCAAGAAAAAAAAGTAGTAATAATTTAATAAATAAATTGCAATTGTATATAAAGCTCATAATAAAAAAGGGAGGTATATATATAATAATAATATAAACAAACAAATAATATACGATATTAATAATATAAATAATAGTAATAAAAAAATAAAAAAAATATGATTAATTTTGTTTAAAACAAAATTTATTCAGCTCGGCAAGATTTCGTTCAACATTAATTTGAAAAGCTTCTAGCCGTTCTACACGAGCAGTAAGTTTGCTTAAAAGATTATAAGTAGTTTCATCACTAAACCTATTATTATTATTATTATAATTACAATTATAATCAAAACTATTATTATTTTGTGATAAATTGTTGTTTGCAAAAATTCTTAGATGACATCTATTTTTTTCCATTTGATCAATACGATTTCCAAGTCGTGTCAAATGCCAAGAAACATCATTATTTTCGTAAACCGAAGAAGAATCAGGTGTTGGGGTAACAGGTTTTATATTGATGCCACCGGCAATGGCAGTTGTGGTGTTAACGTTTGCAATATTGGTGCTGGTAATGTTGTTAGCGGCGACAATATTATGATAATCTGAAAAACTTTGGATGTTTTGCTGATGTTGTTGTTGATGTGGCGGCGGCGGCGGCGGAAGCTGTTGTGCAATAATAATATTATGGTTTAAGTTATTATTAATATTATTATTTGAAAATTGGCTTTGTTGATGATTATAGCAATAATTTGTAGAATTATCTAATGAATTTTCATTAGAATGTTGATGGGTTGGTGGAAAATTATTATAATTATTATTAATCTGTTCATAAGTTAAGCCGGAATATTCACTCATATTTATAAATAATATTATTATGATATTCGATTTTATGTTTTAAAAAATTAATTTGTTGAAGAATATTCATTCATATTTATATGTAATGCTGTTTTTGTTTTCAACCAATAAAATTGCGTGTTAGCTTTCTCACTTCCACCATATTTCTTAAAAGGTTGATTTGC